AGGAGACTCGCTTGAGCCCAGGAGTTGGAGGTTGCTGTGAGCTGTAATGCCACGGCACTCTGCCCAGGGGGACAGCTTGAGGCACTGTCTCAAAAAAAACAAAACAAAACAAAAACTTTACTTGGAATGGCTTAAACAATGAGGAAATGTATGATCTCACGTAACATGAAGCCAGAAGGTAGGGTGGATTTTAGGCAAAGCACAGCTGGCCTCAGGTTCCACTTCCTGTAATTCTCCTAGCTCTGCCCTTTTCCATGTATTGGCATCATTCTCACACAAGTAACAATTTGGCTGGTGCAGTGCCATCACAGTATCCAGACACAATTCAGAGAAGGAAGTGGGACTCTTAATATTTCCTTTTTGGTGGGAGGGACTGTGGAATCCTCTCTGAGAAACTCCCGACAGTGGACTTTTACTCGAATCTCATTGGCCAGAGTCATGTCACATGGTCATCTTTAAGCCAATCACTGGTGAGAATGGAATCTTCATTCAGCTTATACCAATTATCCAAAGAGGAATGAATAGTTGGGAATCTTCCATAAAGGTCATTACTCAAATTTAATTACATTCCCTTAAACCATCCAGATTACAGTCATGAAGCCAGAATGAGCAATCTCTTGAACATTTCAAACATTCTAGCACACCAAATAGAAACATAAAAATAAAATAATCAGCTCCACACCTATAGCTCAGCGGCTAGGTTGCCCGCCACATACACAGGAGCTGGGGGATTCGAATCCAGTCTGGGCCTCTCAAACAACAATGACAACTACAACCAAAAAATAGATGGGCGTTGTGGCAGGTGCCTGTAGTCCCAGCTACTTGGGAGGCTGAGGCAAGAGACTCTCTTAATTAAGCCCAAGAGAGATTGAGGATGCTGTAAGCTATGATGCCATGGCACTCTACTGAGGATGACAAAATGAGACTCTGTCTCAAAAACAAACAACAACAACAAAAAACAAAATAATTACAAAGTCTGTAACTATACTTTGATGGTAAAATATGAAAACTATGGGTATTTTTTATTGCCTCTATACTTATAAGAGATTTTTATTTTGATACTTCCCTATAGTTACAATAACATTTCTAGATCCTCAAACTAAGATAATACTATCCCATCCTGGCAAAGATTATAGGTTATTTATTTATGATTGATTCTTGGCTGGAGCAGGGGAACTTGATGGGCCTTTCTAAACCTAAGTTGGCATGTATCAGGATATCTCTCTCACTCTTTTTACAACAGCTTTGTTGAGATAAAATCTACACACCATTCCAGGTAAGGTGGCTCACAACTGTAATCCCAGCACTTCGGGAGGCTGAAGCTGAGGCAGGAGGATTTCTTTCTTTCTTTTTTTTTTTTTTGAGTGTTTCTGTCAGTGTTTTGTTTCATTTTGTTTTAAACACTAAGATTTATTTTCAAACAGCACACAGACCATCTGCAGTGCAGGGCCAGGCTGGGTGTCTGGGCCCCACCCACAGCAGCTGCCGGAAAAAGAGGACCCTTGCCTGGGTGCCATGGCCGAAGCTTTAGGCAAGCATGTGGCTGGGCAGCCCCAGCTCCGCCCTGTGACCGGGCACACATGCGGGCATAAGCAGGGGTGCCAGGAACTCAACTAGGCAGCTCCTAGTTCACTGCAGTTCACTGCAGGAACTCAACTATGGCAGCTTCAGGAACACTGGCGAATTCCCCCAGACTTGCTGGGATGGGGCTTTTTGGAAAACCACCTGATCTTTGGGAGAATACCTATCGGTTTAGGTCTCTCCTCTTGATTTCCCTTTATTTTTCAAAAGTTTAAAAACGAAAATGGAAAAAAAAAATAAAAAGAACCACACAATTTTTGGGAAGAGGTGTTCTTCATACGCCCGGAGACCACCGGCCCGCCACTGTCACTCCACCCGCTCAGTGAAGTTCTCAGGGAAGACGCCTCGGCACTTCTCCAGCTCCTTGTGCTGGTTGCAGTCGCTCTCCTTCACGCCCATGAGCCAGTCTTCATCCTGCTCTTCGGGGTTCTGGAAGGGAATCACCAGCACCACATCGCCAGCCTTGAGCTGCAGCTTGTCTGTGTCGGTGGCCGTATAGTCACGCTGGGCCTGCACCTTGAATATAAACCCGGGGGGCAGGTCCAAGCGTCCAGTCCCACTGCCAGCCTCCACGGTGCCATTCACAGTTGCTGGGAAGGTCTCCACCACAACAGCAGGAAGAGAACTCTGAGATGGGGACTTGGGGAGAGTGGCCCCAGGGGTGGCCCCACCAGCCAGCTCTGGCTCATGGTTGACTCTGATCTCAGGGGTGGCAGCAGGGGAGCCATCAGGCGGAGGTGAGGGACTCTTGTTTCCTTTTGCAAGGGTGTGGTCACTGGGCTGGGCCTTGATGTGAAGGTGTTGCTTCTCCAGGCTGACCAGCACACGGTTGAGGTTCTGGTTGAGCTTACTCATCTCCTTGTGGAAGTTCTCCTCCAGGCCTGCAATGCTCTCAAAGGTATTGACATAGAAACCCACAGGGCTGTTCCACAGGGAGGGCAACTCTTCCTGAAGATCCATGTTCATGTCCTCAAACACCTTCTGGGCTTTGATGAGCTCCTCCTCAGCCTTTGCGATTTTGGCTTCATCCTTTTTTTGGCGGTTTGAAGGGACTCGAAGTGGTGCTGGGCACTGTCATAGTCCATCAGCTTGCACCCCTACTTGGCAATGCGTGACTTGATGTCAGGAAACTGGCCCAGGTATATGTCCATGGTCAGCAGTGCCTGATCCACCAACTCGCGGTGGTAATCCATCTATAGCAGGTCACTGTTCTCTGCAATTTTGTTTGCCTCATCCCTACCGGCCCGTCGGGCTCATATACCTCCTGCAGACACTCATTCAGCTTCTTGGATGCCTCATGCATAGCTTTGACAGAGGCCAGGTAGGTCCGGAGATCCTTCTGCAGCTGGGTGCCCTCAGTCAGCTGCTTGTTGAAGTTCTGGACACACTGTTCAAACTGCTCATCCTTTGTTTCATCTGCTTTCTCCAGTTTCTGGAGGACCTTCTCCTGTGCTCGGGTGAACTTCTTCTGCACGTTGCTGGCGATCTTCCCCGCCGTCACCCGCTTACTGCCCATCGCTGCCATCGCGGCGCAGGCCTAGCCTGGCGGCGGGCGCCAATCACGCGGGAAGGCCGTGCGCGCTGCGCTCCCAGCCCCAGCCCCGGCCACGCGTCCCAGGAGGATTTCTTGAGGAGAGTTTGAGACCAACATGAGTAATCAAGACCCTTCTCTTAAAGGAAGAACTTAGGTGGGCATGTTGGCTCTTACTTGGGAGGCTAAGATGAGAGGATTGTCTGAGCCTAGGAGTTCAGGGTTACAGTGATCCATGATCAGGCCCATTGCCTTGCAGCCTGAGTGTCAGAGTGAGATGATGTCTCGAAACAAATAAACAAACACACACACACACCATATAATTGAGTTGTTTAAAATATATAGTTTACTCTGGGAGGCCGAGGTGGGTGGATTGACCAGAGTTCACAGGTTTGAGACCAGCCTGAGCCAGAGTAAGACTCCATCTCAAAAAATAGCCAGGTATTGTAGTGGGTGCCTATAGTCCCAGCTACTGGAGAGGCTGAGGCAAGAGGCAAAAGGATCATTTGAGCCCAGGAGTTTGAGGCTGTGGTGAGCTATGATGCCATGGCACTCTACTGAGGTCAACAAAATGAGACTCTGTCTCAAAAATAAATAAATAAAAATAAAATATACAATTTAATGGTTTTAGGATATTCAGAGTCAGGCAACCATCACTGCAGTTTTAGAACATGTCCATTACACTAGTGAGAAGCCCATTGGCAGTCACTCTGGATCTCCTCCCTCCTTCCAACCCTAGGCAACCAACCACCAGTCTGCTTCGTGTCTATGGATTTGCTGTGTGGAGGCTAGGCCCCTTTTAATCATTAAACTTTACTTGTTCCATTAATGGCACTGGTCATGCCCATTCTTTTCATAGGGGATTTCCTGAAATCATATATTTTTTTATTATCATTATTTTATTTATTTATTTTTTGAGACAGAGTCTCACTTTGTCAGCCTCCCACAGTGCTAGGATTACAGGTGTGAGCCACTGCACCTGGCCCCTAGTTTGTTTAGTTCTGTTTTATTTTGTTGAGACAGAGCCTCACTTTGTTGACCTTGGTAGAGCTGTCATGGCATCATAGTTCACAGCAACCTCAGACTCTTGGGCTCAAGGAATTCTCTTGAGCCTCCCAAGTAGTTGGGACTACAGGTGCCTGCCTCAGCCTCCCAAGTAGTTGGGACTACAGGTGCCTGCCACAACTCCCGGCTATATTTTTTTTTTTTTGAGACAGAGCCTCAAGCTATAGCCCTGGGTAGAGTGTGGTGGTATCACAGCTCACAGCAACCTCCAACTCCTGGGCTCAAGCGAGAGTCTCCTGCCTCTGCCTCCTAAGTAACTGGGACTACAGGCGCCCACGACAACACCCAGCTATTTCTTTTTATTTTTTGGTTGCAGCCATCATTGTTGTTTGATCAGCCCAGGCTGGATTCAAACCCACCAGCTCAGGTGTACGTGGCTGGCGCCTTAACCGCTTGAGCCAGAGGTGCCGAGCCACTCCCAGCTATTTTTAGAGACGAGGTCTCACTCTGGCTCAGGCTGGTCTCAAACCTGTGAGCTCAGGTCCATTCACTTGCCTCAGCCTCCCAGAGTGCTGGGATTACAGGTGTGAGCCACTGTGCCCAGCCCTACCTTATGTATTTTAAAGTTTTCCTTGGTTAGCATTATATAATTGATTGTACTGCCTTTGTTATACTTGTTAGGAATGATTGGAAATATAAGCATGCCTAATCTATTAGGCATTATCATCTACCTTTTTTTTTTTTTTGAAATGAGATCTTGCTTTGTTGCACGGCTAGAGTGCAGTGATGTCATCATAGCTCACTACAATCTCCAACTCCTGGGCACCAGTGATCTTCCTGCTTCAGCCTCCTATGCAGCTGGGACTATAAGTGTGCATCACAATGTCCAGCTAATTTTTCTATTTCTTTTTTTTTTTTTTTTGAGACAGAGTCTCATTTTTGTTGCCCTTAGTAGAGTGCCGTGGCATCACAGCTGACAGCAACCTCAAACTCTTGGACTCAAGTGATTCTCTTGCCTAACCCTCCCAAGTAGCCAAGTAGCTGAGACTACAGCTATTTTTAGAGACAAGGTCTTGCTCTGGCTCACGCTGATCTGAAACTAGTGAGTTCAGGCAATCCATCTACCTAGGCCTCCCAGAGTGCTAGGATTATAGGCGTGAGCCACTGCTCTCAGATATTTTTTTCTTTTCTTTTTTTTGCAACAAAGTCTCACTCTGTTACCCCGGCTAGAGTACCATAGCCTCAGACAAGCTCAGAGCAACCTCAAACTTCCGGGTTCAAACAATCTTCCTGCCTTAGCCTTCTAAGTAGCTGGGACTACAAGCTCTGGCCTCAATGCCTGGTTAATTTTTCTAATTTTAGTAGAGATGAGGTCTCACTCTTGCTCACGGTGGTCTTGTATTCTTCACCTCAAATGATCTTCATGCCTCCACCTCCCAGAGTGCTAGGACTAGAGGCATGAGCCACGGCACCTAGCTGTTATTAAGTTTTATTTGATTAAAATACTAAGCTCACCATTCATTTTGTACTTAGATTCTTCTAAAAAGGATTAAATTTGAAGCAAACCATAGACCATTTATAAATACTTGAGGTATAAATGTGCACAGCTAACTGGAAAGTCTTTCTTACAGTTGAGCACTAAATTTAGTTCAGACCAAAAATAAATGCAAACAAATTTGCCTCAGTGAAGAGAATTCTGATTGGTGACAGATAATTCAAATAAAGGTTATAAAAGAGAAAAGGTTATAATAATAGATTTTGGTGAGCAGTTAAAGATTAAGGAAGTATATGATAGAAGAGATTAAACTTTTATTTTAGAATAAAAAATAATATAGAACTGGAAAAAATGGAAAGTTCTAATAAAAACTCCTGGCCTTAGCTGGGCATAGTGACTCAGGCCTGCAATCCTAGCATTCTTAGAGGTGGTGGCTTGTGGATCACTTGAGCTCAGGAGCTCCAGACCAGACTGAGCAAGAGCAAGATCCTGTCTCTACTAAAAAGAGAAAAACTGGGGGCGGTGCCTGTGGCTCAAGGAGTAGGGCACCAGCCCCATATACCAGGGGTGGTGGATTCAAGCTCAGCCCTAGCCAAAACTGCAAAAAAGAAAGAAAGAAAGAAAGAAAGAAAGGTAGAAAGGAAGAAAGAAAAACTAACCAGGCATCATGGAGGATACCTGTAGTTGTACCTACTTGGGAGGCTGAGGTAAGAGTTTGAGGCTGCTGTAAGCTATGACACCATGGCACTCTACCCAGGATGACAAGAGTGAGACTCTGTCTCAAAAAACAAACACACACAAAACAAAAATCTCATGGCCTTAAAAAGAAAAATATTCTTCAGGTCTGTCCCCTGGAAGCAATGTCCTTTACTCACTATCAAACTGATTTACACACCAAACATACAGACTTTGGATTTTACTCTTCCTTGAAAAGAAATTTAGCCTTTTTGAAGCATAGTCAGTTCCATATTTGGAATAGGGGAAAATTGGGAGGAAGAAAAGAAAAGATTGTTTCAAAAATAGTTGAAATAGGACTGATTGGACAATGAAGCCCATCAAACTGTTCCCACTGGTCCCATTGCGATTCTTTGGCGCACCAGAAAAGAATAATAATTGCAGTTAATTAGAATGTCTGTAAAAGTTCATGAGTCAGAGTGAAGAGTTTACAAGAAGTATATAAAAAGATACTTAGGTTTGGGGCCTGTGGCTCAAGTGGCTAAGGTGCCAGCCACATACACCTTAGGTGGTGGGTTCGAATCCAGCCTGGGTCCACCAAACAACAATGATGGCTGCAACCAAAAAACAGCCGGGTGTTGTGGCAGGTGCCTGTGGTTCCAGCTACTTGGGAGGCTGAGGCAGGAAACTCGCTTGAGCCCAGGAATTGGAGGAGCTGTGATGCCATGGCACTCTACCCAGGGGGACAACTTGAGGCTCTGTCTCAAAAAATATATATATATATAGACAGCCATTGCAGTACATTTAGCTCCATAGAGACAGTGCCTGGGCAAGTGAGAGCTGGATGGGCACTGGGCAACTCTGTGCCTCGCTGAGGAAAAATAACTAAACATGGGCAAAGGAGATCCTAAGAAGCCGAGAGGCAAAATGTCATCCCATGCGTTCTTTGTGCAAACTTGTCAGGAGGAGCACAAGAAGAAGCACCCAGATGCTTCAGTCAGCTTCTCAGGGTTTTCTAAGAAGTGCTCAGAGAGGGGGAAGACCATGTCTGCTAAACAGAAAGGAACAGTTGAAGATCTGGCAAAGGTGGATGAGAAATGAAAACCTATATCTCTGCTAAAGGGGGAACAAAAAAGAAGTTCAAGGATCCCAATGCACTCAAGAGGCCTCCTTCGGCCTTTTTCTTGTTCTGTTCTGAGTATCGCCCAAAAATCAAAGGAGACCATCCCGGCCTATCCACTGGTGATGTTGCAGAGAAGCTGGGAGAGATGTGGAATAACACTGCTGAGGGTGACAAGCAGGCTAAGGAAAAGAAGGCTGCAAAGCTGAAGGAAAAATACGAAAAGGATATTGCTGCATACCGAGCTAAAGGAAAGCCTGATGCAGGGAAAAAGGGAGTCGTCAAGGCTGAAAAAAGCAAGAAAAAGAAGGAAGAGGAGGAAGATGAAGAGGATGAAGAGGAGAAGATGGAAACGATGATGAATAAGTTGATTCCAGCACAGTTTTTTTTCTTGTCTATAAAGTATTTAATCCCCCCTGTACACAACTCACTCCTTTTAAAGAAAAAAATTGAAATGTAAGACTGTGTAAGATTTGTTTTTAAACGGTACAGTGTCTTTTTTTGTGTAGTTAACACACTACGGAATGTGTCTTTAGATGGCCCTGTCTTGGGGCTATTTTCAAGAGCCACTGTATTAACCTTACCTGGTACAGTGTGGGGGTTGTAAACTGGCACGGAAATTTAAAGCAGGTCCTTGTTGGTGCACAGCAGACATTAGTTATAGAAGGGGATGGTAGTTTTTCATCTTCAGTTGTCTCT